AAACCTAGTGAAGGAGGTCGCTTGAAGTCGAGCTCGCGGCAGGGAAAAGCTCGTCGGAGAGAGAACGTCGTGGAGGTCGGCCGGAAATTTGCGAAGAAGATGACAGGAAAAGTCGTCACCATAAAAAGTCATCGGTTCAGGCGAAGGTGAACATCACTGGATGCGCTTTGCGAGGGGATTTCAACGGTACCTTCGGATTCACGTGGGTCAAAGTGAGTCACCGGGAATTTGCGAAAGAACGTCGGAGAAAATTTGTAGATCTACGAGCTTTGATCGGAAAATTGAAAGTCTTATCGTTGGAATTTTTTCGTGAAATTCGGACATATTGTCGGCACAGAGGAGAGCTATAAGATCATGTAAAAATTTTCAACATCCGACGAAGTTGGCTGGCGGCGGCGGAAGGTGATTGGCGGCCGGTACGTGAGTTTTAATTCAACGATGAAAATGTTTGATAATTATAGTGGAGCTACATAATTGAATTTTGAAGCAAAAAGTGAAATTTTAATTTTATATCAAAATAATATTTAAATTAAAATAATTTTAGTTGATTTGGATTTAAAAATAGGAGATAGTTGAAGTGAAGTGGTGGTTAGCATGGGCGGATTTTTATATAGGCGAGCCTGGGCAGTTGCCCAGGTTGAAATTTTCCGACTAAAGATAAATTATTACAGTTTTAATAGGATTATTGGGTACAAATCTATATATATATATATATATTAAAGCGGAGCAGCTGCCAAATTTCCGCTCAAACTTACATTAATTATTGTATTAATTATATCATAATTTACTTTCACGTTATTTTAGATATTGTCTAACCTTGGAATGTGTATTGTAGTTATTAATCAACTTATGTATTGATTGCAATATTGGGTAATTGTCTTCTTGGAAAATAAGAAGGATAATTTGTCACATTGGAAATGTTAAATTGTAATAGTGCATTCATAAGGGTCATATAGTAATTGATAGTAGTATTTATAAGTACATGGTGAATACACATTAAATTTTGTAGATAATTTGTGTACTAAGAAACTATATAAAGCAAAGTAGCTGGAATTTTTTTTTGTTTTCCCTCCCATTATATATTAAATGTTACTCATTAATTGTTTGATCAATTCAATAATTGTTGTAATTTAAAGCCCTATTGGAATTGTGTATAATAGATATAATATTATTGGGAATGTTAAATAAGTTGGCAACTGTTTAGAATGTTGGGCTAATTCTACACATCTCAGTACAATTAATAATTTATCAACAAAAACAAAATAATGAGTAATGTCAAAAAAATTTATCAATTATCCTCAATCGATTTATCCATTAAATTTCTAAAACCGTCCACTTTGAATTTTTTCAATTACAAAACCATATATCTTTTCATTATATAACCACAATATAAGGACCTAATGTAATCTTATTTTTAATTATACAACTTTCACAATCGTGAGTCATTTTGAAAGTATAAATTCTTAATCACATAATATAAAATCTAACATGGTTAGTTATATAATGCAACAAAATAAAATTTAATAAAATTTAAAGATTAAAATATGTCATTTTTATATGATGTTTTATGTTAATTCATTGAGTAAATTTTTCGGTGAAAAACATTATAATAACTAAACATAAAATTATAACATATTAACTGTTATTCTCAAAATTAAAGGTATAAACATATCTATACAACTGGAATATCAATAAAAATTATGTTTCTTTCAAAACTTCATTTATGTTAATGAGATCGACGTGTTTGTACTAAAATATATTATGCATATAAATAAAATAAATAGAAAGAAGATGCAATGAGAGAACGATGACAAAGATACTAAAAGTCAGGTCTTACATATAATATAGTTTATTAAAATAAAATAGACATATTGTTCAAAAAAAAAAAAAAATACATCTATAGGTTTTTTTAAATCTAGGTGCAAACCAACAGAAATATGTCTAAAAAATGGTGGATAACTTTTACTTAACAATAAAATTTTGAAGATTTAGTTACATAACCAAAACAGTAAATATATAATAACACATTGAAAACATGCACTCCAAATAAATATGTCAAATCCTATGTAGATAATTTAAACAACATCAATAAATTATTTGTTGTAAAGGCTTAATTTCAAAATATTAATTTATTAAGAATTTGCCTTCTAATATTTTATTTATTTTTTCCATTTCTTCTCTTAGTGAGTAACATAATTTTTTAGACATAAATAAAGAGTTAATTTTTATTAGAAAAATATTATTATGAACTTGCATGACAAGTTTACATTATTTCTGTTTTTCTATTTTTGTGTGTGAGTTCCTTTTTTATATATTATATATTTTTATTTTTTAAAACAAATGACACATTCTCTTTTAGTTTAGATTATTTTTCAAAGAAAATCTCAAGGTAGTATATCTTGAAATGATCTTGAGAAAAGTTAATATGATCATTAAAAGATACTATATTATATGTAAGACCCGTTATTTAGATTATTTGTGTGGAAACATCATTTTAAAAGTTTGTAAATATCATCATTTTACCTTTTTATCTATCTACAATTACCTAACATTTTTTTTATGAATAAAATAACATATTATGTTCATTATTGTTAAATTTTTATTCATATAACACAATTTTTTTAAGTCAATACAAAACAAATAAAATCACTACTGAACCGTCGTAGTAGATAAAAGTGCAACACAATATACTAGACCCGTTAATCGTTAAATGTTCAGGTCAATACAATTACTCCTTTTTTTCACTTGGGATTTATGAGAATTATAATTTACTATATTTTTAGAAATGTACATTGACTGAATTTTGGTAAAATAATAAGAAAAAAAATATTTAAATGATATTACATAAATACTAAAATAACAATATAATTTAAATATTTTTTCTTATTATTTTACCAAAATTCGGTCAACGTACATTTCTAAAAAAAAAGTAAATTACGTATCTAATGAATCCCAAGTGAAAAAGGGAATAATATGTTATTAACCTGAACATGTAACAATTAACGAGTCTATCAGTAACTTCACCAAAAGTGATCTATTATGCACAACATTATCATATCACCACCACACTTTTCGTACTAAAAAATAAAATGTTGAGTTTATTTTTCTAATAAAATATAAAATGTGTGCCTAATTTAAAACTAAATATATGAGAACCAAATTTGAGTCCCTTTTGTATTTATTTATTAAGTATTTAGTTTATGCTTCTTAATTCTAATTGACTCGCATATGTTAACTTCAATTATTTGTGTAGCAGTTTATTTGTATAATAGTAATACTGGCTTATTTTGTTCGATGAAAACTATTTTATTAAAGAGACAATTTTATAAAACAAAATCAGAGAATTAATGTGACAAATACCTTATTCGTTGAATATCACATATAAGTTTTTTAAGTTTAATGAATTTAATTTTAAAAATTTGAAGCAAAAATAAATTCTATTTCTCAATCACACACTCATATATTATTTGTTGAGTTATGATTTTTTTTAATGAACATTTTAAGATGTGATAAACCAAATAATTATTTTATATTTTATTATCTCTATACAATTCTAAAATATTTTTTTATTTATTTAAATTATTATGCACATCACTTATAATATCAAGTCGCGCATCGCGCGGGTGGTGTACTAGTGGGAAAAAAACCAGAGCTGCGCACAAGGAAGAAGAAGAGGGCAGATGCGGATTTTTTTTAAATCAACATATAAATTAGCCTCCATTTAATTAACCAATTAGATGCCAAAC